ACTCTCCTGACTGGTGTTCCACCGGCGTTCACATAGTTACCTGGGCATCAGCCGATCAGTCTGACAGTTTTGCATACATAGGTAATTGAACAGCAATTAGGGCCTGTCCCAAGGGCTTGAACTTTACATGTTAAGGCCAAAGTGCATCCGTACCGTGAGCAATTAAAACATAGGATATCATAGGATCCACGTCGGGTCAGTGGAAGGACGTCATGTTCCAACTTGGTAGGTTTCCCACACTACTCTTGGAAAGGTCAGCTCCCAGACATAACGATTCATCGATTTCATCCCGAACAAACCTTCTTCTTGTACCAAAGCATTCCAAAACCAATATGTCGCACTTCATGCACGCATGTCATCTGGGAGCACTATTGGTTATCATGTCTCTTAAAATTGCCGTGTGGGTTTAGAAAGGCTTCGTTCATCTCCCATCCCTGCCTTTTACATCCTGTGGAACAGGCAAAAGCACATCCTCGGTGGCCCTGGTTGGGTTTGCACCAAGCACTTGGAAAAGTAGCAAAAAGATGTGAAAGGATGTGCAAAGAGGAACCCCTACAAAGCGCACCAAAAGATGCTAAAATGCTAAAATGAACATCATCAAGATGCCACGACCTGCTTTCCTGAGATTGCCATGCAATCTCAAGCACGCCCCATGCCCGGGAGCGCCCGGGAGCGACCATCCATGTATGAAAGAGTTGCATACATTTACCCCATAGTACCCCATCCATGAATCCATTAAAAGACGCATCTCAATGTAAGCAACTGTTGCAGTCCCACAAATTCAGGTAGGTAAGCAACGGTATGCTGAGCTTAGCTGATCCTTTGCTCTCCGGCTTCTTCACCCATCCATTCTGCTCCAGCGACTTCCGGACGGCCATTGCCCTCCATCTCCGCAGATTCCATTGCCATTACCGCAGTGGGGGCAATAGCCTTAGTGAGGAGAAGTTCGGCCACGGCCGCGGATGGCCTTCTGAAATGAGTGGATCTTTTGGGATGTGAGTGAGACCAACACGCATTTTACATCATCTTGATTTTATCCAATCCTGCCTGTGCTTGTTTGGAATGTGTTAGGTATCAAAATACAGGTCGTGTTTTCCTGGGCTCTGCCCATGATCGATTTACGATGTATTAAGAGGTACAACCCTTCCGGGTACCGTGTCGCACGTGTCACAGTACTTGCCTCGCCCGGTTCCGCCGTGGCAGAATTGTCGGGTTCCGTCGTGGTTCCGCCACAAACCAGCAGCGAAGGGGTGACGGCGTCGGTGACGGCAGTGAATTTGGGAAGCTGTGGCCATCCCTTTGGGCGTTTTGCCCATAGAATATCCTTGCACCTGTGCAAAACATCGATGGCCTCTTTCTGGGTGAGGGCTCGTGTTAAACTGACCACTGAGCCAGTTTGTCTGGTTGCCAAGCAAACATGCTGTCTCAGGAAAAAAACAAGGCCTCTTTGAACGCAACTAGGGGCTCCTGGCCTTACTACTAGGAGCGATCGGACGCTAGTCTATTAGGGGCTCCTGGCATCACGCACGGAACGATCGGACGCAACTAGTTCCATAGCTTTGGGAAACTAAGTAAATTCTAATTAAACTTAAATCGAATTTAATCTATATATATTTATTGTTTCTACTAGCAAACATTGTTCCTATAGTAGTAAGGCCAGGAGCCCCTGGTAGCGTCCTTGTTACTAGTAGCGATGCCCTTTGCTCCTAGTAGCGTCCTAGTCTGTTCCTAGTAGCATCCTTTCGCCCCTGAAGGACCCACGTTTCGGAACCACGAAGGTGCCAAGACACCGTTCTTTTCCCCGGACACGGCGTTCCGTGCAGGAGGCCTTGGTCGATAACAAAGTGCACTCACCTTCGGTCATCCAACATGGCCTTTAACCTGTGGAAGCCAAACACGTTTCAGACTTCACGTGAGTCAAGCAGCAAAAAGTATTATGTGTTGCTGATGTTAAGAAGCACATGGGACGATGATAATCTGAAGTGACAGGTGAACATCATAAAATAGCGAATGTTGCGGCCACTTCGGTGGTCTGGGCTCTCGCATCAGCTGGTCTGTGGCTGAACCCGAGGTACCAAAGCACCGCTTCCGGGAGTAGCAAGTTCCGTCTGCGTTCAGCTGTCAAAGCTCTGGCAAGCGTTCGATTGCATCGGTCCGGAGTTGAAGAACCACATGGGTCCAGGAGGCTCCGAATTAAGAAAACAGTCAAACAGTCAAAGCACCAAATGGGCAGAAATTTAGATAAAGCCACCCGAGCCGATGTCACAAGTGAGTTCCAGCAGCAAGGAAGAAGTGTTATATGATGGTTTGACCAAAATTCTCAAAATGAGAGGACCCGTTTGGTGATGCTTTGTGGCTTTTGGAGAATGTACAAGTTGACCATGAACCCTCAAAAGCCAGAACCCAAGCTGTTGCCCTAACATCCCTCACAGTGAAGGTTCCAAGCTGTTGCTGTTCCGAAATCATGTTCTTCAGTCCTGAAATAGCTAGAAATGGTTGTCCCAAAGTCCCAAACAAATCCAGCTGAGGAAGAGACAAAACGCATCTCAGGTATTTGAGGTCACGCTAGTCACACATAAAAAGAACACACATACACTGCAGTAGACCAAACAAATGCTTGGCTACTAGTCATCAGTCGTACCAGTGCTCGATCTTCTCTCGCCGAGCGGCTCCGTGACCCATCCGTGTCCGGACGCGCTCCGGACCAGTAGCAGGGCCTGGAAAGAAAGCATGGCGCACGGTGGGCCGGTGGCGGTCTCCCAGAGATCCGGAGTCCAACTAACGATATGTACAATATTATCGATCTATGATCTATACAATAATATAGTATATATATTACAGTATATATATATATATTTATATGTGTGTGATGGCCACAACTAATATCTTTATGTATTGAACATAGCAAAACATACAGTAATATGACTATTACTCCCTCACAGGCACACGGCAACTATCTACTAGAGCCTTGGTGCTATCCACTTCGGTATCAACTTGGCAAATCAGGATGAGCCCTAAAAGTCGACAGCGATGCCCCTGATGCCCCTTTAGGCCTAGCTGGGTGTTTCAATCCGCGGGATTCGTCAAGCAATATGAGCATATGGATAATCTTGTTTTACTACTAGCAACAAGAATCGCTACTAGTAGCTCCTGGCATTACTACCAGTAGCACGAAGCTACTAGTAGCTCCTGATATGAGCATATGATATGGATAACTTTGGAAAGCCTTGCTGGCTGTTGGTGGTTCAGGAACACGGGCACTAGGCACATGATGGGTGGCAAGTAGTGGATTGTGTCTCACCCTTTTAATAGGCACTACTGGTGAGCTATTCTTAATCAATTTGTGCAGAGCAACGACCGTGGTTTTGCAAGCAGGCAGGTAGTATTGAATCCTGATGCAGGCCGTATGTTATGACGCAAGCGTCATTCACAATGACGAGTTTTTGCCACAAAAAGCTGTAGGCTTCTCGACAATGACGAGCACAAATGAAAATCAGATCCAGCTGCGAAGGGAACTAAAAAGAACCAATGCATTATTCCCCAATCATCACAATTTTCCCTGTCCCGGCCTCCTAATTCCCCTCTCTGGGTTTCCACACCACACAAACTCTGATGCTCCACATCTTTGGATCGCCGGAATCTACGAATCTCTGGAGCCAACTTTGGAGGATTGGCCCCTGGAGTCATCGACTCAAGAGCTGAAACTTATGTTCTTTCCTGGAGTCCGCCGGATACTGCCATCTTTGCCAGAAGGTGTTAAAAGTGCCACGGTCCACCCCATCTGCTGCAAAAAGACTCGCACTGCAACCGACCACCACTCACCGACGCACTTTTTTGTTGAGCAAGTCAGGGAGATTCTTTACTATTCATGTTGAAAGACCAAAAGAGAGTTGTATAGATTGGCAGAAAGACACCATACCTGTGTCAACACCCCCCCCCCGCTGCGACTGCACCGACGAAGTGGTCTCACTTTTTGCACTTCGAAGAGGTCTCCAAACTTCACTGAACGCCATCGACGAGGTCGGTCATCCGCCATCCGCCATAGGTCGTAGATGTCTCTCTCGGTAGACCGGGTAGACATTGGTGTGGCGGGCTTGGTTGGTGGTTCATAAGAACTTCTGTGCAAACTGTCCTCTTCCACGTTACTTGCTTCATGGAGAGCCTCTGGTTGTTGTGACTGAAGAGATCCAGGTACATTGGGCTTGTCTTGCATTCCGCCCGAGAGTATGTTGATCCCCTCTGAAGTGCTTCATTGAAACATGATCTTCCAGACCTTCAGATAGTGATTTCCGTACCACGTCCATCGCGCTCGTCCCTGAGGCTTGATACCTCAGGGCTTCCTCTCGACTTTCGAAATTGGCTGTCTGCCTCTGAGAAGTCAAAGACTTCCACTGTTGACTCTAGTCTCCTCCAACCTAATAGCGATGGCCTCCAACCTGATAGTCGGAAAGCCTCTACTAAACGAATCTGTCTAATCTAGCAGAAGCACCAAAGGTCCGTAACATGCCCACCAAGTATTTGCAATGATAAACACTATGACCTGTTTTCTGGAGGTCCCTGGACTGTGAAGATCCATCCAAACAGACCTCAGCAATCCACAACTTGAAGATCTTGGAAATGGCATGAAAATGATTTGTGTCACGAAAACACTTTGTTGTTTATTGCCAACAAGTCTGACACCTGGGCGGTCACACTATCTTCCAACGAATCTTCTTTGCACCAAGAATAATCCATCATCCAATGATCACAGGAGTACCTGCTGGGGCGTTGTACGGGCTTCTACGGTGTTCAGCGAAAGGGATTAGTGAAGGGCAGGAAGTGGACACATCAACTGAATGTTCTCCTGTTCGATCAAATCCCGGAGTTCGAGACTGAAAGAGACCATTCAAATACCTGCCACATTTGTGAGTTCTATGTATTGAAACAAAAGCAACATCCGAGTCCTCATTTATGGGCACACGACCCATCTACATGATTTACCTTTCTGGGTGCTGCCTTCAAAAGGGAATGGCCTAGAGTCAGAGGCAGGCAACCAATGATTTGCAGTCGCTCTGCCCTTCATCTCGCTGGACTGCCTGGCATTTCGCTGCCCGGATGGCTCTTTGCATGTCTTTCGAATCCCAAAGATTGCAGGACCAAAACACATGCTGGAAAACCGTGCCAAAACCAGGAGCCAGGAGTGACAAACCTCCAGCTTATGCCACAACCTTCTGGGTCCACCAGCTCATTCGATTATATCTCTTAATGTATCTTAATAAGCGATGGCCTCTCAATGGTGATCCTTGGTGACCTTTTCAGGACTGGAAGCCACTGTGCTTGGCGCCCAGCCCGGCCATGCCCCGTCCGGCCTGGACCGTCGGGCCAGCACCCCCGCTCACCGCTGGCGGACTGCTAAGTCGACGGATTGACCTTGGGAATAAAGACACAAATGTTGAGAAACACTATGATTTTCTTTTGAGTTAGGCCTCCAACCTAGAAGCGATGGCCTCCAACCTGTGACTCTTTTCAGTAGCTCTATGTGTGTATATGTGCAGAGAGAGAGAGAGAGGGTGGAGATGATGGTCAAACTGAAGCCAATGCTCAAGAAAACACGTGTCCGTTAATGCGAGGTTCTCATCTATATGTCAAACCGGAGTGGCGCAATCCCTTGGATTGGCCTCCTTTCAGATGGCGCCATTGAAGGACGATATTACTCCGGCCAGATGTTCATGGAATCAATCCGCACAAACAGCTCGATCTTCCTTTTTTAAGATCGTTTTGTGTGGAGGTGAACGACAGTGTGTCCTTCAAAGGAGTGTTGTATAGAGGATGAAGGGATCACCAGTCCAGAAACTCACTCTTGGCAACCGCTTGTTGATTGCGAATGTCCTTGTACAAGGCACCCTACTGGAAAACTGCATTCTGTGTAACAATCCCAAACCCTCTGGCCAAACCACCATCCTATCAACATCCTCGAGCCCTGCCAGCCCTGCCAGAAAATGCCCCATCATGGCTGTCAAACACGGATGTTTGAACGTTTCCGGCCTTGTTGCCTCAAACAAAACGGAAATAAAAAGAATATTAACAAAATGGTGTGTTATACTGTGTACGCACTGTTTGGCGATTGGAACAAATCATGTGAACGAACTTCATGACCGCAAAAATGATGGTAACGTGGTGTCAGATGATATTGCAAATACTGGCGGTTGTGATTAACCTTAGTCCTTAGTTGTTTTCTTTTGAGATTTGAGTATATCTAGATTTGGTGCACCAGGGAAGAGGGCAAGCAGAGTTGCATGAGGAGTTGGACATTTCTCCAACATGTCAAATTTGAAGACTTCGATGACCGTCTAGAAGGAGGAAAAATGAGGAAAGTAGCCCGTATGATTGTTTTGAAAGCGGAACCTATTCTGTGTACCGTGTTGGACCTCATATTCTTGGCAGATTCGGCGGAATTCATAATGCCTCGAAGGTCATTATTGAATTACATTACTGTATATTTGTAGTTGCCAAGAAGAACATAACATAATCCTCGCAAGGTGACGTGCAAAGCAAACGTGGAAGTTCAGGCGGCGGACAAGGAAGAACCAACCCATCCATCCGTCGATTCTCTGATTTCTTGAGCCGCTGGCCAACAAACAGAAACAAAGGAAAAAACCAAATGCCTAATAGCGAGCTTCTTGCTACTAGTAGTAATGCACTTGTTACTAGTTAGCGATGCACTTGGTACTAGTAGCTTATTGTTTCTATCTAATTCTTGTTTCAAATAGCTTCCTTGCTCC